CGGGGCAGTCAGGTTTGGTGAACGCATGCGTTGAACTAAGGAGTACGCAAAGTCAGGCGGAGCCATGCTCGACGATGCGGGAGGCGAAACGAATTCTCCTGGCAACTTTAGCGATGAAGCTGTAAACCAGCTCTGCTTGTGCACATTGAAAAGCAGTTTGGATGCTACCGCAAATGCCTAAGCGTACGAGCGAAACGTTTTCGCTCCAGTTAGAGTCGGACGAGGCGCAGAACCATTCTTTTAGCTGTCTATCTAAGCTTTCAACTAAACCGTTAGCTGCTGTGTGCTACGCTGTGTGTTACGCTGTTAAATAAATGTTGCAGAATAAATAAATAAATGTTTTATTCCCAGCAGAGCGAGGCATGCATGATCATGATAATACAAACAGGTATGGTAGGGAATTGTAGAAAAATATAGCAACGCAACCATTAACATACTGGATTTGTGTGTATGTATGCGTACATATTTGCATGGATATATATATATATATGTGCCGTGAAGCGGCGTAACTTTAACATTCTCTCCCTCGATACTGGGGCGAAACGTACTGAGCTGGAGAAGGCGATGGTTGCACGCCCGTGTGATGTGGACTGCATAGCCACAGTGGGCGACCTGTGGCACCACATTCGCGACCAACTAGCAGCTGCTGCCGAGGAGACCATCGGGCGCGCAAACTGTAAGCAGCCCGATTGGTTGGATGAGAATAATGCGACGACAGGTGCATTAGAATCTGAAAAGAATGTGTCATTTGCTGCACATGTAGCAGACCCCAGTGAATTGGGGAGGAATAGTCAGTTTCGCAAACTACGACGACGAATGACGCGAAGCTCCGTCGCATAAAATTGCATGGTGGACGGAGAAGGCGAAGCAGATGGAATGCTGCGCTGAACGTCGCCAACACAAGGACTTCTTTCACTCCTTGAAGGCGGTGTATGGACCGAGATTGGGGCCACTGAGGACGCTGATCGATGGTAGTTCAGGGCTACCTGCACACAGACCGAGATATAATGCAGATCTGGCGGAAAAACTTCGACTGTCTCTTGAACAACCGTTCAGAAATCGACTGGCCTAAATTGAACAGCCTCAAGCAGCACGATGTGAAGACGAGTCTGGCGGACACACCGACACTGGATGAGACGCAGAGAGCACCTGCTCAGCTGCGAAACAGCAAGTGTGTTGGGGCCGACGGGATCCCGCCTGAATTATTGAAACACGGCGGACCTGCGTTGTTGACTGCACTGCAACACTTAGTGCAACGTGTATGGATTGAGGAGGAGCAGGAGGTGCCTCCTGAGCTGAAGGATGTCCTTGTGCTACCACAGTACAAGGGCAAAGGTAGCAAGCAATGTTGCACGAATTATTGTGGCATCAACTGGCTGAGTTGTGCGAGCAACGTGATTTCCCGAATCCTGCTCAACCGCCTCGTCAGTCAGGTTGTGGAGCCTAACGTGGCGGAAGAGCAGTGTGGATTCCGTTCGGGTCGCAGCACTATAGATATGGTGTTTGCGGCTCGTCATTTGCAGGAGAAGTGTAGAGAACGACACCAGCCGTTGTACTCGCTTTTTGTTGATTTCACCAAGGCATTTGATACGGTGAACCGCGAGGCATTGTGGCTGGTGTTGGGTAAGTTTGATTGTCCGAATAAGTTTGTAAGTTTAATTGAATGTCTGCACAGTGGTATGCGAGCGAGGGTACAGCTGAGTGGAGAGACCTCGGATGACTTTGCAGTTGTCTCTGGTGTGAAGCAAGGCTGTGTCTTAGCTCCTGCCCTGTTTAATATATATCTTCATGCAATGATGTCTTGTGCTTTTGATGCCGCTTGTGCTTACAGTGTTCGTGTGGAGCACCGTATTGATGGTGGGTTGCTGAACATCCGTCGTTTCGGTGCGAGAACTTTAGTCTGTGAGACAACTATCCGTATGTTGCTGTTTGCTGACGACTGTGCGTTGCTTTCACACAGCGCGGATGAGTTGCAGCACATGACTAGTGCTCTGGCTTCGACAGCAGTCAAATTCGGGCTCACCATCAACACAAGCAAAACTGTCTGTCTCTTTCAGCCTTCACCGGAGGTGCAATCTTCAATATTGCCGCTAATCAGCATTGGTGCTGAAGTATTGGAAACCACCTCCCGCTTCTGCTACCTTGGGAGTGTGAACTCGACTGATCAGCAGCTACACAGTGAGCTGCGTATCCGCGTGTCGAGGGCAGCGGCAGCATTCGAGAAGCTTGAGTATCGAGTGTGAAACAACCATCGGCTTACCATTGCCACGAAGCTGATGGTGCACAAATCCATGGTGCTGTCCGTTCTTCTATATGGCAGTGAAACGTGGACGATGTACCGGCGGGATGTGCGATATTTCGAGCGGTTCCATCAGCAGTGTTTGCGACGGATTTGGCGCATCGGTTGGGCCGAGGGAATTGCTGACAAGGAAGTGTTGCGCCGAAGTGGGATGTATGCAGTGGATTGCATACTTTTGCTGAGACACCTGAGGTGGTTCGGTCATGTGTGGCGTATGCATTCGACGCGGATACCGAAACATCTCTTACATGGTCAACTGAGTATTGGGAAGCGGCATGTGGGGAAACCAAAGTTACGTTACCAGGACATGATCAAAGTGAGCCTCTCACGTTCTAATCTTGATTGCAGGTCATGGGAATCGAAGGCAGTTGATCGGTGTGCATGGCGCGATCTAATCTCGAAGGCTGTTGCCGAAGTGCGGGAGAAAGATCTCATACATGCAGAGAAGAAGCGGCAAGTGCGGAAGTGGCAAGCACCGATGGGTTGTACTCCATCGACCTCCAGCGCATGGTGCTGTAGCACATGCGGTCGCGAGTGCCTGAGTCAGGCAGACCTAATGAGCCATGAGCGGGGTCAATCGGGACCACTACCGAAGCGACGATGGGTCCTTCAGAGAACGTAGACAGAGCCGCCGCAGCGTTTGTAGGTACGCTGCATTCGATTTACTAACCGCGTGCTTGCATGCTAAGTCTATTTATTTCAGGTGGTAGGTTTTCAATTTTGTCCTAATGCTTTTCTTTCTCATATAAATGCCTACCTGTACTCTCTTCTATAAACCTGCACAAGTCGCTTAAGCCAACTGTAGTTAATTTCGATAACATTTTCGTGTTTGTGGCATTTCCGTAAAATATACTTTCTGACCTCGTGAACTTATCTCGGATTCGTTTGTAGACAACTTATTTCATATGCTCATTACTATAAGATTTATGTCATCGTTTCCTTATGCATTACTGGATTTATTTTATTTGTTATCTTTGTCTAAAGTGACTGGCTGTTGCTTGATATCCCCGGTGTGACTGCGCTTGATGTGCATGTTGGCAAGGTGCCTACCTGTCTATTACCCACTACTTCGTCCATACTGGCTCCAGGAGACAGTTGGTCGTTGCTGGAGGGGACGGGGTGCACGGTCCTGGTGGCCGTGTTAGGATCGAAGAGTGGTTCCATGCACTCAGTGTGGAGCGGACTACGGTCCAGCCACCGCCTTGTGTGCACCTAATTCCCCAAATACAGTGTGCTTGTGTTTGTCTGTGAAGGCGTGTGGGCCGGCTCCGTTGATGAAACGTGGCTCCCATCCACATGCCTCCCGGTCTTATTCCTTCGGATTTACACTGGATATTGGGTGTGTGGATGGAGCTGTGGGTGGTGCAGCGCAACCCATCTATGGTCCCTCTGTTGGCGCAGGCGTCCTGTGGCTGGCCACAGTGACAGGCAAATCCGAAACCGGATGCCGCCAACCATATATATATATGTGCAGTCCTACGCGCAGGATACTGATGAACACCTTAGGGTACAGCAAAATCTAAAGATATTAGTAGGTTATTACGGGCACACCTCAGGCGAACGGTTATGTAGTCTGGTAGCTGCAATATGCACTTTCGGTAGTACTCCGTCATTCTGTAAGACAAATACAGGTAAAATAGTTATTGTAAGGTACCTATTGTAAGAAAAAGCGTTCATCTGTTCTTTTTAATATGAACAACAAATAATTGTCTTTGGATTACCGAAATCAGCAAGATAGTGCATTAAGAAAACATTTTAAAAATTTCGTATCTACCTTTTTCGCTCTAAATTGAACGGTTTGATAACCCAACTGGACGGTTTGCAAAACGAAAGAAAGTTAATGTTTGCCCGCACATACGCACAAAGAACAAGGATGCCGATGGGAGAGAGAAGGAAACTTATTCGCCGGGTGACCGACTCTCACAACCCACGCAGCAAATCGCAGAGCTTTTGAAGCATTTTAACCGAAAAATGCTGCCATTGCAGCATATGCATGGAATGCTCCAAAAATGCTGCGATGGCCTATGGCGTTAAGATCTAAATGATAGCATTCTGCCCTTAATTTCAAATATTGACTCCATCAATTACCGGCTGCCCAATTTGACCTTCACGCCACGCTCTTATTGGTCGCCTATGCACAAAGTGTACGCAGGCTTGTTGTACGCTTAGCAACTGCCTCTTGAACGTAAACCTATGCTCCCCGCGGCAAGTAACGGGAGCACACGTTCAGTAACTTGAAGTATACTTTATATCGATTGCAAGTAAATAGGAACGACCACAGAAACTGACCAGGGACGCCATTATATTAGGAACACAGATTAACAACACAGTGTTTCTACAAATCCAGTATGCTGTGTCCGAGTTCTTCTGTATGCTGGCCACCCTATACGCACGTTAGGTTGCAAAAGAATAACGGAAATGTTACCTCAGCCTGCTAACTGACGCTACATCCGGTTGGTCGTCGAAGGTAGTGCGATCTAACGTTTTGTAAGAAATGCCTTACGCTGTAGCAAACGTCAGTCTGTGACACGCCAGCGTCAGCAAATCTAGCGATAAGCACAGCTGTTAACGAGGGATCATAAATGGCAATGGAAGCTCACCTAGGAACAAGTGTGCATTGTTAACCGTTTGAAAGCACAGAGGTCGTGTGCGGCTGAAAAGTTGATAGCGCCTGCTACTTGCCGTTGCACCAACCTCTCCATCATCCGACGGGTAGCCTCAGGCAATGTACTTCCAGGTATTCCTTGAAGTATAGCAGTCTGTATGTAATGAACGGAAATGTGTTCGCATTCTTACCAGCTCTCCCTTGATTTTGCCATCACCCAGTGAGGCATCGAAGGATTGAAGCTCCTCCACGGTGGTCACAGGTAGAGGCAGGTATACCGCGGAACTTGTACTCAACTGGTGAACGGATTCTGTTAGAGTTCGCATGCTGGTCTTCACGGTGTACATATCACGAGCAATTCCCCTCATCTCGTGTTGTATACCTAAGGATCATGGGTAATTGTAAAAAGCATCATACTCAAAAGCGTTTCCATTTGGCTCTTTAACGCGTCCACATCACTCTGTATTTGTAAATAAATAAATATTTTATTCTCGAATTCATCGAGGCATACCAACTCAGCATACCATGAATACATAATGTCACTGCACCTTGATGACGTACCTCTGTCTTCATAGCATAGACGAGTGCGGAGCATTGCTACGGCGTAATCAGTTGCTGTGAGCAGCGGCATTAGCATAATGACATAGGGCTTACCTTGAGATGCACTGAAGTTCCACAAAGGTGCAGTTTCCTGGAGAATACCTGTGACTACTACAGTCAATAGCAATCGCTATGCCACGCACCTACCTTCCCCATCCTCCTGTGCATGTCTTTTGCACAGTTGCGGTGCACACTTCAAACTTCGAGGTGGAAGGTGCCTGCAAGAGCGGTTCCTGTGGCGCCGCACCGTAATCCACTGAACATGGTTTAACGCGTCTTCTTTGGGATTCATAATGTGTCTCCGTATTAAAACGACTGGGGGCACGTCTGAAAGTGGCGGTTATGTACTGGTATACATATGGGTATATTGCACAGTACATCAAAGGCTTCGGAGAAGAGCCCATGAAGACAGTTCCGTCAGATTCCTCCGTGAGTTTATTATCTCCTTCACCACGTTGGATACGCATTGTTTTGTCGAAGTCCGCTGTGGGCAAGTAATGAAAGTGACGGCATACCTGTGCGGCGTCTAACATCAACCCGGTGACGTGGATCACCGGGCTCTGTTCGGCGGGGTTGACGAACCACATTGTGGTAGTCAACTACCGATGTAGAGGGAATGACGGCGCGCCGGCTGTCTCCCACCAGCCACGTGCTGCTTATCACTGTCCTTCTAACTACATTATTCTCTTCTAAACGCATGACACAATAGCAAGGCACTGCCATATCACCTAAGTGAAAACAGCAATTCCAAATTAAAAGATGTAAATCATTCCGGCGATAACAAAGTAAACGCCTTGTAGTCAAAGTGATTCATTTGTAAGAAAAATTACATATTCACTGCCCGCCATGGGAAGGCAAATGGATCCCTCCAAATATGTGCGGGGCGGAATGATAGGCTGATCTATCAGCTGTTAGAACGGAAAAGGTGCGACTTACCTCCAGCAAAGGAAAAGAGGTTACACAGCAGGTGCGTTTCGTTAGTCACCAAACAAAGATTATGTGGCGGATAAAATACGAAAACATCAACATACGATTCCCTGGTCACCTGTGCTGGCTTATCAGCAGGTTGTTTGCGGAAAGTATGAAGCAAAGGTATAACGACCGATGACGTCTTATCCTTCATGCGAATGCATTTGCACTCTATGTCGGACACCTTGCTACATATAGCGCTGTTGCTGATTCTGCGCGCTGTGAACACATGCACCTTTGACGAGTGTGTGCTGTGCGTATACAAATCACGCAGCTCAAGGAACGCATGGCATTCAAATCTGGCCGTGGTGTAGGTCCCGGCCTACACAGAAGTCACTCAGTGTGGTTTACCGGCTACTAGCACTAGGATGATCGTTCCGTTTAGTCTGAACCCCAGCGTGTCTCCACATTTCAATTAGCAAAAGTCCTCGATGACGCGTCTGCAAATCTGTGCTGCAGGGTTAACGGGGTTCTTTACTTGCTTCTCTATAACGTGTAGGTACGACTCGAACAAATGCAGAGAACGCATCCAGTGTGCCATGATTAACGACATCCTCATACAGATTGGTGAGTGAATGCAGGTTATAGGTCATTTCCGCGGCCCCATATATTTTGAAAAATCTTCTAACAAACACAAACCGCAATCTTCGTGCGAACTTACGGTAGCCCTGGGAGCAGTGAGGATGACATAACAGGTAAATGCTCAAATACATATCCGAAAAGTTGCGTTTGTATACTGGTGTTACGACACTGCGCAACACAGCGGGACCGGCGTACTATGAGAACTGACGAAATTCGTTGCCTTCCATTAGCGAACAGTGGAAATGCTTCGGCAACGCCTTGTGAAATCCAAAGGCAAGGATTTCTTGTTTTTCAACAGTTTAGCATTGATTACGGATACGGCATTCTTGTTCAAACGGTATGGACTAAATCTAGTTCCAAACAACCACAGGTTAATCATACGTCGCATGACGCGCAAACAAACAGCGTGCGTGTAATCATTTGGAACCTGGGCTATCATATTGATGTTTAGCGACTCGAAGAGGGAGTGCTGGTGTACAACACGCGATCGGAAAGATTTGTCGTTACGCAAACGACATTTCGTTCGTGGAAACGTCACCCACCCAACGAAATACAGACCACACTGAACACATTTCTCGCAGCCACGTAATTGGAGTGCTACTTGCACATTTTCGCAAAAGCTTGAGCGGGAGGGTCACATATGACAGCGGCCAATGACAAATTGTTACGTGCAGTATTACCTGGAAGCAGCACTCCATCGTGTAATACAGTATGCAAATCCTGAATCAATGGCGCAAGGAACTGGTGAACGTTGCTGGGTTTGCTTTTTCCACTGTAGATACCAACTACAAAAGGCGTACCTGAAACCGGGTAAGTGGCGCGACATAGAATAGGCCACACTTGAAGTTTTGATGACTTAAGGGGGAGAACCCATCTATGTGCAACTGAATACGGATTTCCTGCGACGCTGATGGTGTGTGGTGCATGTAAGCATGCAATAATCTCGATGTTATGCCTACATGTCCATAGCATCCGGAATCCACAGCATCCGTGAGCTTCTCTCTTGGTGTCCGCATCAATGTTCGGCAATCCTTCGGCATGTCCGCAATATAAGTGCCAAGATGCACGAGAAGTGAATTGACTGAGGACGCTGATTGATTGAATTTATGCGCCCAACTGCTGAGACCACTTTTGAAGGGCACAATGATGTCCCCCAGAGAAATCTTACGATGTGTGCTTTTTTCGTTAAATCCAACAAGGGCACCGGATCAACTTCATGGACATGAAAGGGGAAATATAATCTTACTTCCATTTCGTCAGCAGATTCATAGTTACCACCATTCTCATCGACGTAATATAGCTTATCGGCTAACTGGACGTCCGTACCTATCGCTGCGACTGAACGCATTAGACAGAATCGCGTGCTAACTTCACCGAGCGTGCACATATGATCGTTGTTACTCTGACCAGCATTCGGATGGTGGCGTTGTGTATGAAACTTTCGCAGAGATAAGTAACACCGGCGACGTAGTGTGCGTTCGGAGGGAAGAGCAAACTCACAATTCCGTAAGGTTGCTTTATAACGCTTGGCATGTATTTGCTAAGCATTAAAATTGTCGCTAATAGCATTCTCGTACACTATGCAACTTACCTGCGTACGTGATCAAGGGAGATACCAGCAATTGTACTTCACGGTTACGTAGGTAGCCTGCCAGTTACCTAAACGTACAACTGAAACTATCCCCTACGTACATAATTAAACAAAACACTAAACAAATTGTATACCTAACATAGTCAAATAATGAAACATCCTTCAATATGCTTATCACAACTACACTTAGGATTATGTATTGTCTTTGGGTTGATGCGAAATATGCATTCCGCAGTCGCAGCATATTGTGGCGTCTTTATGCTGCAGTGTGTTGGGTGGGAATCACGAAAATAGCTTGCTCTAGCGCATTTTGCTGATACAATTTTGTTGTCTTATCCAAAACAATGTGTCCAATTTGGTTAGTAAAGCCTACAAATTGGTTTGCAACTTTCCAAATTGGCCTTGTAAAGGATCTTCTTGGGTTTGCTAAAGGTATTTTAAAATTATTATTGGCCATAAGTGATATATTACTTCTTTCCGAATTAACTTTTATCTGGTACTTTGAGAGCACAGAGCAAAAAGCTTATAAAGTATGTTGCAGCCATATGCCTAAAAGGTTTTTACGCTAGCAGCCATTCACACTTCAAAAGCGTCCGCTTTTACCATGTCTCAGCTAAGGCGACAGGAAACCTTTGTACCAACAGGTTAGAAGGTGGTCATTTGTTATACGCACATTGAACCAAATAAGCTGAGATAATATTGTTTTATTGCAATTACCGTGCATACAACGCATATAGAAAGAGAATTAACATATTTTCCTCCAAAGATTTAAATGAAATTCGCACTCTAGAAGTGTGGCGCACTGCTGCTTCGAGCGTACGATAATATATACTATCCTTATACGTACACATTTGTACGCAGGGCAGTAATGTCTTACAATCAACGGTGTCAATAAACACGAGTAACATGACGGCTAGTTAATCTTTTGAAAAGTTCACCTGCGTTTATCAGTGTGGCCCAAAGGCCCGTTGAGAATACAGTGATTCAAATTAAGCTGACTGCTATATGGTAGCGCGAAAATTTCAATTCTATGAATAGTTGATAAACCTTAACACCTTTTATATATAAGTTTGATGTTTCATTCCTTGCAATGAGCATATATGTTGTTATATTATAAAGTTCCTGCCTTATTATGTTTCATTATGCATATAAATAAGAGAACAGGCTTTGGCGTATGGAAGCAAATAAATGCTATTTTTCGATCGATGAGAAGTTGTGAAAGCGGATTCTTTTAATGATGTAACGGTTGTCAGCATGAAAGCTGGGGTGCATATGGCTGCAAAACCATTTAAGAAGTAGATATGCTGCGCTTCACTACTCAGCAGTAAGAATGTACGGACCAACACAGAAATCTATCGCATATATATCGCTTATTAAAACAAAATAAAATTGATCTCGTGGACTGGAAGAAAACAGCACGAAAAGTTATCGTCCGTCTTCTAACTGTCAATTATATTTGTTAGTGTACAAAGCAATAAATAAAAGTTCCCTCTTTATATACTTTTGAAATTTTGCCTGGTGGATTTGTAGTATCCGTCCGGTTCTTGGTGACAGGTTCTTGCGTATTCGTCACCAGATGATGCCCGCAAAAGACCGGAAGACCTGTAATGGAAACAAAGAGAGAGCGTAGGTGGCCGTATAACTACCTAGTGAGAACGAATCTCGACGAACAACGTATCGAGTCTGCTGGCAAATCGACACTATAAAGTGGTAGAATTGCTACGAGCAAGCGAGCGCAGGTGCACGCGTTCGTAGTCAAGGTTAGGACGGCAGGAAGGAGGCCGAGGTTACGGAGGCGGTTCAAACAAGATGGCGTATGGTGTTACAATACCCCCCTTTTAGCAGGCGCTGTCTTCATCGCATCTGTACCGCCTTTGCAGCTTTAGACTATTAAAGTATAGTACGGTCGACGTACTTATTTCCTCTGGCCGCATAATTCTACAGGTCGTCGGACAGCACGTCGGCTACATAAGGTCCTTCTCAGTTCGGCGGAACTTCGGGGGTACGCTCGATGGAGTCTGCAGTACTTTGAGCCACACTGCATCGTCCGACTTGAAGAGACTGCCGAAGGCTTTAGGATCGAAATGTGCTTTCTGGTGACATTGGGTTTTGAAGATGTGCTTGGGCCAACTGATGCGCTCGGAACAAAGTGGTCTGCAACTTGAGTACATGTTCAGATGCAGTCATCGGTTCGTGGTAGGCCATCGACAGTAAAGGGTTCAATAGTACTCGTAGCTCGCGTCCTGACATCATGAGGTGTAGGGTTTGTCCTTTGGCCTAGTGAACAGTGGCTCGATATGCAATTAGGCATTTTGGTAGATTAGTGTCCTATTCTCTGGTTGTTTCTTCGTTTATGAAGGATGGGAATAGCACTTCCAGTGTGCGGTTCGTGCGTTATACCAATCCGTTTCTCTTTCGGCGGGGTGCGATTGTCCACACCTTTCG